TGACCAGCCGATACCAGGGACTTTCCCAAAAAGACCCTGGGTACGAGGATGAACCGGTCCCTGGAGGCTGCCCCATTTACTGTTCGGAGTACTCCGGATTTTCGGAACACTAATTAAATCGAACCAACAGTGATCACATGACTGTTCTGACGGTCACATGTCTGTTATGGCTGCCCGTACTTTAGAGTAGGGGCAGTAAGAACAGTCATGTGACCGTTTTCGGTTCGATTCAATCAGTGTTCCGAAAATCCGGAGTACTCCGAACAGTAAATGGATTAAGACAATAAGACAATTGTTTTAGTAATGTTTAATAAACGAGTAGGAGTGTTTTATCACAATATAAAACACGACGCGTAGCGGAGTGTTTTATATGTGATAAAACACGAACTATGAGTTTATTAAACAGCTTCAAAAACGTCTATGTTAGATCACTGCATTGGCGAAATAATTTTCCAAAATAGCTTTGTATTAGCTGAGAAAATCAAGGTTAAATTAAAGTTTATGTAAATGAAGGGAAATCTTTATCAACATATAAAGATACGACACGCTTATGATTTTTCTTTGTGTTTTGCTCATGAATTATTAATGAGTGTTTGAATCCAGTATAAAAATCTGATATAATACTTCTGTCAATTACAGCGCAAATAATTGCAAAAAGTCATTCCATTATTGTGTTTATATTCTAAGCAGAAATCGAGAAAAACAACTTTCTAATCAAGCAGAAAAGTCACAAAGGAAGTCATTTTGAAGAATGCATGTGCAAGAAACACTGCAACACTAAAACAGTAACCGTAAAACCGGCCTAAAACAGTTTATTTCTCAATTATAATTAAAGTGATAGTTGGATATTTTGTTTTATTCATTAAAAATTTATACTAAAACAATTATTCACCTCAGGCTCAGTGATTACCGTGAATATTCACCTCGACTTTGTCTCGGTGAATATTCACCTGTAATCACTTCGCCTGCGGCGAATTATTGTTAATTATTACATACAAATAATAATACTGTGGAAAGTCGAATACGAAATGCGGAAGCGCGCCAAAATATTAAGGCGCTGCCTTTGGTCGTGTTTGTAGGTTAAAAAGAAGCAACTTTTAAAACATATCAATGAAAACAGCCACGAAAAGTTTCGAAAAATTTTATCGTACTTATGGAAAAAAGGGAAACTAACTGGTCGTTATTATATATTTCGACGAATTGAAACCATAAGTGTGGATGTCAGACTCATGTCCTTGTCACATTTCTGACCATATTTTCATTGACTATGATTATATATTGAAAAACATGAAAAATCTTTGTTCGTGCGAAGACCTTACTGGAAAACATGAAAAATCTTTGTTCGTGCGAAGACCTTACTGGAAAACATGAAAAATCTTTGTTCGTGCGAAGACCTTACTTACTGGGGAGTATTGCTCTCCCCAGTTCAATATTTTGATTTGATTTTCAAAGTGTTATTGTTCAAGCATTATTGTTATACATAAATTCCTTTTCCAACTGTAGCTGCCTAGCTTTGCTACCCCCCTTGACGGATGTGCCTAAAAAGTGAGATATTTAACACTATGGATTTTACCCTGTCCATGAAACTAACCCATACTTTAAACACGACACTATTCCTGAACCTAACTTGTACCCCAACCAGACACTTCCGCTACCATTACAACATTTCTGGGTAAATTCGTAGACTTTCTCGTAACGGTTTCTGCATGGCATATCTATAATAGCAAAAAACAGAACCGGAGGAGATAATTTTAGTTTACCTGGTGCTAATGAACTTGCAATTAGAAAGTGAGGTTCATCTGGATCCAACTTGTCACGAAATATTGAATCATTCCTATGGTCATAATCGACACCACCATCTTGTATTACTGCATTTGTCAATTCTACTGGTGCATCAGTCATTACACCTGTCACTGGTGTTTTTGCATCACCAGAACCTGTCGCCAATGTTGCTGCATCAGGCGAGACTGTACTTGCATTTTCTTTCTGACGTATTCCATTGGCTATGATAAAGAAGAGTTTTGGCTTACCAGCCAAATGTGGACATTGAGCCGCTTTAAATGCATCCGTGACTTCCTTAAAGTCAAGACACTCGGAATCAGAACCATATATTTTGCCCATATCACCATGAGTTGTAATGAGGCATACAAAACTGCTGGAATTTTCATTTATTTGATTGGCAGTGTCTCGTACAACTTTGCGAATATCATCAGCTTTCAAATCCTTGTGTGATACAACAGTGAAACCAATTTTTTCCCAAATTTTCTTAACATTGTTAAAGTCGATATCAGAACCTCTTCGTTTATCCAATGTAACTCCTTCTTTAGTTGTAAAATTTTCGACGACAATGATTAGCACAGTATCATGTGCTGGCTTGATATCGTAGCGCGGGAATCGTGAATCTGTAGTTAAAATAGAAATACAAATTCTGGACACTGCAAAAATCGACAAACTCTATGATTAAAATTCATTCATTAAATATATATATATATATATATATGTATATATATATATGTATATATATATATATATATATATATATATATATATATATATATATATATATATATAT